CTAGCACAGTATCAGAGAACAAATTTAGTATGATTTTGGAATGAAGAAGCCATTGATAAAAAGAAATTAGGAGCTTCCTGCCCCACACAACCTAAATGCTCAGGGAGAACTTTGGGCAAGCCCTGAGCATACCAGTACTGCTGTTTGAGAGACTCTGGTGTAGCAGGTGTAAGACACTGCCTTGAATTCTGTGTCCTTCTGGACAGGACACCTGAAGTAGGTGAAAAAAAAAGCTAAACATAAGCCCAGAGTCCTGTTAAATAGGACTTGAAAAGGCAAATTAGGAGAAAACTGCAAAGAAAGAGAACTGGCTTGTAACAATTTAGGTCATAAGACACCTGTTTACCAGAAAGCACTGAAAAAGTAAAGGGTTGCAATGCAATGCAAGATCAATGATATAAAATAAAAACAAGGAAAAACTCCACAAGATCAGCATTTGAGACACAGAAGCCTGTCAGTAGAAATGGAGAAGACCCCCTCAAGAAGTTCTTTTTTCAAAAAAGAGTTCCACAAAGCCCCTGTGACCAAAGGGTAGATGACAGAAAACAATCTGGTGCAGTGGGGGGCTGAGATGGATGACCTCTCACATTTTGCTACGCTCCCAAACTGACAACCACAAGGATTGCAGCTGCAAGTCAAAACTCTGGCACCTTCAGGGATGGTTTGAAACACAGGGTCACAGAGACACAACAAACACCTGGTTAAAGTTTCACCAGGGGTGATTGAAAGAAAAGAGGGGTGTGACAATTATTTCTGTTGGCTGGGGGAAATTGAGTTTTCAGGGGAGAGAGATGATTAATTTTTTGCATCCTCTCCCCAGGCCATTTGTGGATATGAGAAATTCTTCTAGACTGGTCTTCCACCCACTTTTGGAGATGTCATTGTGCCAGAGAAAGAATACTCAAGCTGAGAATAGAGTCACACTCAAGAGACTGAAGAGAAAATTTTTTGTGTGTCTGCTTCAAATGAAAAGAATAGTTAATGTTATCTGGTTTTTAACCTAGACAGCAGGAGTATAAAATAGTATTTAATAGTATTTAATACAGTATTAAATAGTATTAAAAAGTGAGGAGTATTACAGGATATATATCTCTTTGGGGGCCTCCCATCTCCCCAGGAAAGGCTGTGATCTTCCCAATTCTAGACAGAGAGGAGCCCAAGGGGCAAATTTTAAATACCTGCCCTGCTTTCTCAAAGAAAAGCACAATTTTCTATACATAAGTAGTATTTTTAGATGCATCTATTTGTCATCTGGCACCGTGGAAATGCCAATGTCTCACATCCAGAGCTTACATTCAAAGATGTTCACCATGGAACAAAATGGATGTCATTTGGCTAAACTGCATAGAGTATAAATAAAAAAATAAAATTGCTGAATGCAAAATATCTGATACAAAAGTATCAAAATCCCCTCACGAATATTCATTCAATCACAGAAGATGAGAAAACAGACCCACAAGGGAAATCAGCAGGTCAGTTAGTCTGTTCTTCTTCTTCAAGGTAAAAATCAAATATTCCAAAAATCAGAACCTGTAAATTAGCTTTCAGTTTACTGTGCAGTTGCATTTCACTATTTTTCATGCTGTGGTGCCAAAAAAAAAAAAAAAAAGAAGACCAGAGCTGATGAAATCCACATTTCAAACCAACAACAAACAAAATATTTTTCTCTTGAGACTGATATGCATAACCCTTCAAATTACTGTAATGAAATGTGAGGGGTGCACAAAAAGATGAGGAATACCCATCTAATGAAAGAAATGAATGTTGTGAAATGAGTGATTTGTTGGATGCTGCGAGTATGAGCAGCCATGAATCCTTTTCAGAAGCAGTCAGAAAAGCTTACGATGGCTCATAAATCTAAAGCTGGGGGGGAAGAAACAGAGGCAGAAATAAAGTAAAGCAGCTGAAAGGAACCTCAGTCATACACATTTCAGTTTAGGTGCTCTCACTTCTGTATTTCTCTTTAGCCAGGTAAATTCCAGCATACAGGTGTGGTTTTGTACACATCTCACATCCTGGCACTGGCCTATGGAAAATGTACACTCAGAAATAACTTCTCTCATTGATAACAGAACTGCTTTTCATGTTCTGTCTTCCTAGGCAGCAAAACTAGCAGATCATCCAGCAAATATGAAGATAAAGATGTTATTTGAAAGTCATAATAGATGTAGACTCTTTTTACAATTATATACATGAGGAAACAATTTAATCTGTTCTTCCAAACACACTTTCATAAGAATAATGTCCTTTATAACTTTGGCATTTTGTTGCCAGGACCTCTGGGCTTTTATTATTTTTGGGACTAAATGCAGTCAGAAGGCCTGCATATAAACATTTAAATTTATCTGTGTGATATTTACTGGGGAAGAACTATACATGGAACTTCTGTGGTTTTACCTTATTCTGAAATACAAATGTACAGGAATCCAGTAATTACTGGTTACACATCCACGCCTTAACTATAATGGCAAAAGTGATAACTGAATTTTTAGCTAAAATAATAAATAATTATATTAAGATCTTATTAATCTTTACTTTTAACATTCAATAAATACAAAATTCAGTGAAAGTTGGTTTTAGTGTGAGACTACCTTGATGTATAAAGAAAAGCCTCCAAGTATTAGTGTACCTGATTAAATAAAAGTTTGAATTGAATAAACCCAAAATGGAAAGAAGGAAAGGGATATGAATGCTCAAAGAGTATGCTGAATAAGAGTAAATTATGAAGAAAAATATGCCACTCTGCTCACTTTCTTTGTCTCATTAGAGTCCTGGGAGAATTTTGAACATGCTAAGAGAAGGCTGTTGGTCTGAGGTGCACTGAGCTGTAAGAAAATCCCAATTGTTCACTGGCTGAGTTTAATGTTCATGGACTCCCTTGGGTCTATCAGGGCAGCACAACTTTGTGCAGGGGACAACTTCGGTTTGGGGTCCAAACTTCGATATTAGGATTTTTTGCAGTCATGGAGGATGCAGGACATGCAGCACTCCAGGGTGAAAAGGTCTTTAGTCAGTTCATGGCCAAGGTTACAGAAACTGCCAGGGGCCTGCTTGCCATGCACCGGGGCACTTCCATCACCTTGCTTTAGTGGATCTCATACTGGAGTGGGAAAAGCTCTCTGATGGCAGCAGTCACTCAAGAATATATGAATTACCTCTTCAAAAGACAATTTTTCATCTTTATGGAGCAATGTAATTGCCTCTACTAACTCCCATTGTTACACTAGAACAATTTCAGCTGTTCAAAAATGGGACCTCTGAGACTGATGTTCCATGACATAGGAGCTATTGTAAAAAGACTAGTTTTAAGCCTTAATTAGGTTTAATTAAGATTAATTTGTCCTGGCTACTCATTGCTGTCTCTGTTCAGCACTTTTTCACCCCCTGAGTTTCTCTGTTACAACCTGTGTTAAATCAGGGTCACTTAAAAAAAAAAAAAACAACCAAACAAACAAAAACACAGGCTGAAAAACAACTTTTAGGCAGATTTTTTTTGTTCTGACATAATTTTTTTTTTTTTTACATATTCAACAGGGCAGCCAACAAGAAGTTAGCTCAGAGGGCACTCTACTTCCTAGAGACCAGAATATACTGCCAGGGGAAGAAAACAACTTACACTAAAACCACAAGAAAAAAAATTCTGCAACATGGAGTTACAACCTAAGATTCTCCCTCTCATTAAATCAGTGTTTCTCTAAGCTTACTAAAAGTAAATTTCCATGCTCTGTGAAACCATGGAAAGAGATTAGCTGATTTCAGCCATGAGCTGGAAGATACAGAATGTGTCTCCAGGTCCTTGCCTCCACAGCAGGTGATTTCAGATGGAAAAGGCCATCTGCACAGAACAACTTCTCCACAGCCTGCAGGTCACTTGCCAGCAAGAAACTTTGCCTCCAAAAGTTCCCCCCTTTCCTTTTCTCAAGGCCTTTCCCAGCACATATTGAATCAGAACTGAAAGAATAAAAAAATAAAAATAAATTAAAAAAAAAAACAAAAAAAAAAAAAAAAAAAAAAAAAAAAAAAAAAAAAAAAAAAAAACCCAAAAAAAAAAAAAAAAAAAACCACATTTTATGTGTCAGCTACAGCAACTACTGATATTGCTCCTAAGAACAATCCCTCCTTCTTGAAAGAAGAGCTGAAAAAAAGAGCAGCAGGGCAGAGCAATGTGCCTGCTCCCTGGCCTCCCCACTGCAGTAATAACAGAGATATTTGGCTCTTTCCAAAGCAGCAATTCAAACCCATTTGCCCCTTTTTCTGTGCATTCTGTAAGCTGCTCTCCTCTGTTTCGAGGCACTCAGCTCCCTCCCGCAGCTGAGGAAACAGCCACAGATTTTTCTCCAAAGTGAAATAATCAGTTTGTCCCCATTTGTTCAAATTCAGGTTTTGAACCAATTTGCTTTTGTCTCCTCTTACTTTTGTAAAATTGACATTTTTATGCTTTTCCTGGGCACATTCAGTGTCCCTGCTGATGGATTCAGACCTGGCCAGGGCACAAGCTCCAGGCCTGGAAGAGCCTTTGTCCCTTTCCCCTCAGCATTTGTGTATCCAAGGTCCAATCTGAATCCCCAAATGTGGGACTGTTCTGTTTCACTCCCTGTTTTAGCTCCAAAATTATCAATATTTTATCAACTTGTAGAATTCTGACATCAGCAATGGCCCAGCCAGACATCACAAAGGCAGAAAATTCATTTCCCCTGAGCTGTTCTGGTGTTGAAGGTTCTATACAAACCCCTCCATGCTTTGATAAAGCCACAACTATATCATAACTCTAAATGTGACCCCTTAATGACATTGCACTCATTTTTTGCCAGCTGGCAGTGGAATTTTTGCTGTGTGCATTAGATGTAAAGATCAGATAGATTTTGGAGAGTACACACAGCAAACACTGTAAGCAGTAGCTCTGAAGCTAAAGGGACCCTCAGCAACTCACAGGGTATTTTCAAGCCAGGAGAATTTAACATCCTCCTCAATCTGAGATAAATATTCAAAGAATCACTCACCGCATCTTGGTAGCAACATCAGCATTGTTGTTGAACATTAGCCCAAGTTTTTTTTCTTGTCTTTTTATTCTTTTGCCCTGTCATAAACAAAAATGGTTTAGGATCAATAAAATATCCATTTCACTTAATCATGATCTCATTGCTAGCATTAAAAGGGTGAATATTATATTTTAGGAAAAAAACCCAACCAAAAGGATACAAAAGATATTAACTTGTTTTGCTATGACATGCTTTCAAATAAAATAATTGTAAAAAATCACACTTTCATGTAAATTAAGATGTTGAATCACCAACCAAAAGCCTCATAAACTCTGAGCACCTTAAAATTCAGAATAGCAGGGCAGTATTTTTTATTAAAACTAAAAAATATATAAAAATTTTCTGCCTCCTCCTGGTCTGCTTTTATTTTTAGAAATGTGTGAATGCATATATATTTTAATGTATCTGTAGACAACTCTTTCCTTCTTTCAGTGCTTTCTGCCTTTGCTCTTTTTGAGTGAGAGGTGACATAAATCCACAACTTCAATCCTACACTACGTTGCACTCATGGGTACCCCAGAGTATCTGGGGAAACTCCTTTGTTAGTGACAGTGCAGGATCACACAAAAAAAAATCCTGGAAAATCATGTGGAGCACAAGGACATTGGGAGAAGGGAATTCCTCCCCTCTGTGAAAGGAGATGCCCCATGACACAAATTTCCACACCAGAATTCTGAAATTTTAAACTCTGGCTTCACTCTAGTAGAAAAATAAGGGACAGCAGCAGAGACCACAAATTTATTGGAATTCTTGTGTAGTCCAGGCATGTTCCAGTGACACCTCAGCACAGACCACCCCCCTCCCACCCCCCCTCAAAAAATGCCTTACAAGGCCGACTCTTCTTTTACTCCTGGTAACTGGAAGATTTCAGAGGCTCAGGTAACGAAATTTTATTAATATATTCATACTACATCTTTTCATTTGAGGAAACTCAGGCTGTTTGAACAAATATTTAATTAAGCCTCATATGGCACAGCAGGGAAAATATTTTTAATGATATCCTGCGGTCAAAATCAAAATTTCCTGTCAGTTCCCTCAGAGTGGTGCCCGAATTTAATCCTGTTTCTGGTTTTGTTTTTTTTTTTTTCACACAGATAGAAGGACTGTGTTTAGCAGCACTTGGCAATCCCTGACCTCTCTTAGTTATTCCTCACAATGCTGGGACAGCTTTGGGATCAAATGTGGCAGGTGTTGGAGGATACAGCAACACCCTGAGCAAAAGGGTTCAGGATGGGAAAGTGCATTAATTTATCTCCTCCAGATAAAAAACCATTGGCATCTATAATTTTCTGAAGCCATGGTCTGAGATCTACAAGAAGCAGTGATATGACTTTAACTGTACCTATTTTCAAAGGTTTAAAAGTTTTTTTATAAAGGGTTTATAAGTTTTACCTATATTAAAAGGGTTTATAAGTTTTACCTATATATTTATCTATAATTTTCTGAAGCCATGGTCTGAGATCTACAAGAAGCAGTGAGATGACTTTAATTGTACCTATTTTCAAAGGTTTAAAAGTTTTTTTATAAAGGGTTTATAAGTTTTACCTATATTAAAAGGTTTTTTAAAGGGGTCAAGATTTCATCAATGTCAAAATAGAGACAAGTTGAATATTAGAAGCTGAAGGTAATTGCTGAGAAGTTTCATTTATGTGTCTGTTGTGGCAAATTTTCCATTGCTCAGAGATTTCAGGCAGCCTGTGGTTAGAGAAGTTTTCCCTGCAGGACAAACCAGGTCTGGGAGATTTTATTTGTAAGCTGAACTGAATAAGGAGATTCTCATCCTGGCCTTTCCCTTTTACAACTATTTATCAGCCTCAGAGTCATTGCTTCATTTGCAGATTGATGTAAACCAGAGTATTTTCAGCATCTCCCTGAAAGGATTTGAAAGAGTGTGCTGGGAATTGATCAGCACTCCTCAGACCTTGCAGGAAACTAAGATGTGTCCTGATGGAAGGGAAATCAAGATATTGATGTAACCAAAGTAAAAAACTGGTTTAGACATACCACATTAGCAAGATATAATCCTAATTGCTGTTTCAACAATGTTGCTAGAAAAGGGAAGAAGCATGATGCTGATCAGATAGGCATTAACAAAGGAATAATGTCAGGGCCCAATTTATTACAAAAAATTATAAAAATTTATGTTGATCAAGTTCAAATGGCTCCTTTCTTTTCAGCTGTCACTGAGACCAAATTTTATAAATATCTCCAGTAAAATAAACTAGAATTCCTTCTTATTAAATAGATTAAAATGTTTCAGGAAGTTAGGAAATATTTATTCATACATACTGACATTTGACATTGCTTTGAAAGAGCTTAAAGCACAAGCAACATTTCTTAGCAGGTAGCCACAAGTTAAAAAGAAAAAAAAAAAAAAGTGCTTCTAATGAAATGAGAATTAGTTCAAGACTAAGAAAGCATCTATTCCCAAAATTAATAAATTGCATAAAAATATAATTTGACATCCTACATAATGTCTCTGAGTATTTATTTGACACAGATACATTCATCAAATTATAGCAGCCTTCAGGTTTTTATTTCATCAAGAAATAAAGGAAAACATCACTTTTGAACATGACAAATGTCACTACGAGCAAAAATGGACAATGACTGATCAATCAATAGCCAGAGATCCTTCTCCTGCTTCCTTCCCATCATCTGTACTGCAACAGCAGAAACAAATATTATGCTGGTCAGGAAAAGAGATGGATCGTGATGTGTGCATGTCTAATGCACTCAAAAGGTGCTCTGGAGACCAATTCAGAGAAGTGCAGGTACAGCCAGGCTTCAGAGATTTGGCTTTGCAAACACTGACTGCAAGACAGGCACACTTTTATTAAGCACAAGCAAGGAATGATGAACACAAGCCTGGGACACTGCACAGACATTTTCCCTGCACTGCTGTGTGTGTAATTGTCAAATACCAACGCTGAGTCCCAAACACCACTCCCAGAGTGGAGAAACCTGGAAAGAAGCAGAGTGCCTGGAGACACCAAAGCATGCCCAGCCATTCAGAGAAACCAGCATGGCACAGCAGATTGCTTGCATCAATTCCAGATCCATTGGTATTTATAATATCTACATCTGCACCTAATCCCATACCAGTTTTAGCCAATATGTCAAAAATATATTTTAGCCAATATGTCAACAAAAGTATAAAGGCAAATGGAAAAATAAAATTATCATTTGATCTTTCAGAGTTTTTAGTTAGTTTTTCTTATTTCTTTGTGGTTTAATTTTGGGGTTTTTTGCCTTATAAATATCCCAAATAATTTATATTCATGGAAGGCCAGTTTAGAAGGAAGAACAAAAGCGAACAAAATTTCAGCAGTTGCTTTTGTCTCTGTCCCTTAATTTCCTTTCTATTAAAAACCTGAAAGCAGAACTGAACCAGAACAACATTTTAAATTCACAAAGCCAGAATTTGCAGACTTTTCTAGGCATCACTGCTATGTTCACAATTAACCAAATTAATCCCAATTTCAAGGAGCTTTTAAGAGCACGGAGGAGTAGTTGATTTATCTTGTTGCTCATTCTGCTATTTATTAACCTGGTTTTTTCACTCTTCTGCAGTTTACTAGCAGTAAACAAATCCCATGTGAGACCCAATAAAATACTTCTTTTGTAATGTTAATGCTGCTGTCTTTATAAATCTTCCACTCAAGGCGCAGCCTTAGCTCTGTACTGCCTTTGGTTCCTGAGTGGGTTGACCTGGGCCTAACCCTGTCAGCTTTGGTTCTGAAACAGTCCTGAGGATTTCAGGCCTCTGATCTGGCAAATTCCTCAGAGAAAAAAAAATTAACAGAGGAAGACTCTCTGTGACAAGTGATAAAGCCCTGTTCTTTTGAGGTTACACTAGAGATGGGGTTATGGTCAGAATTAATTGAGAGAGACACAGGGACAACAAAAAAGAAGTCACATGAGGGGGAAAAAAAAGAGAATACAGAGTTTATAGGAGAATTATTGAATAGGAAAGAAGGAGGGGTTGAAGGGAAGTAATCAATTCCCATTTATAAGGTAGGGAGCCTAGCAAACTAATTAGCATTAGAGCCAGATCAATTTTCTTACACAAAGTATTTTATGAGATTGTTACATGACAGTGTGCTAATTAAAACGGATCGACCTAATTAGAGCAGCATTAATAACGTGGCAGCAGCACCCCTCAGTCCATGATGTGAAAAACGCTAAGAACTTGGTTTTTAAAATTTTAAAAGTTTAATAATATTAAAATGGTTATAAAAATAGTAATATAATTAGAGCAATAAAGTTTAGAGTTAGGACAATTACAAGACAATAAAAAGCAAAGAATTACAGACGTCCGGATGCTCTCGGACACTAAGTCCGAGAAAAGCATGCCTTGTGAACAAAGGAATTACCCTTAAAACAATGCACTTGTTGCATATTCATACATCCTTCATGGTTATGCATACATGCTATTCTAAACAAGAAACTCTCTGTTGTATGTCAACTGTTTCCTTTAATCCCCTGGCATTTTCGACTCTGAGCAAGGCCTAAAGAAATTAGCTTCTTTTGATAAGAAGCCATAAATTCTCTCCTTTGGAAGATTTAGAAGATTTGGAAGATTTTCCTCAAAACAAGTATCTCATTCTTAAAAAAAAAAACTTCCCCCACATACATAGACTCTATTTTAACATTATGTTGTAACCTAAAACTACATTTAGCACACTACGTAAGAGAATTGATACAGCATAACTTTCTAACATTACACATATAATATTCATTGTAACAGTTGCAAAAAGCCAATCATAAAATATGCATTTTTCACAATGATGTGCTGTACAGATAAAGATCCTGAGAGCCAGCGCAGGCAGCCCCTGTTTCACACAACATTTTGGTTTGCAGCAGGCCAAGCTTGTGAACAGCCTGCTTTCCTTTCTGCTGTGGGAGAACAGGAAGAAAAATGATAAATTTGACAGCACAAAAGGGAGAGACAAATTGAGAGCTGAAAACAATGTGTGTGAGCCAGCTAATTAGTGAGAAACAATTATAAAGCACGGGCCTGATTGCCACATGCCCT